ATGGCAAATATTCACCGCTGTGATTATGCTTTGAGTAACTTAATAGCAGGCATTGCCTAAGTGAAAATTGCAGTGTCAATGGTGGGTAGGATTCCATAAAGAAGTGCTAAGTTACTTTGCTCCCTCAAAACCTGTCAGTCACTCATCTGAGGCGCATCGTTGATACACCGATCTGAAATTGTCACTAGCATAGAAGCCTATGTCATGGAGCTAGTTTTAGGGCAAATCAAGCCCCATTCGGCATTTTCCGCACAGTGTTTAAGTAGGGAGGTTTTTTGCCCATTTTTTTAATAAATAAGGATTGAGGTATGAAGGAAAATGATTAGCTAGCCGAACTTTTATCATCGTACATGTTGTTACCATTGGGACGGGGACGCTTTAACTTTTTCACATGAATAAATACTCTTGCATTTGTATCCGCTTGTGTCTGAAATTTTTTGGTGAAACAATTTTCATATGCAGATGGGGTACGATGACTGCCTTCGTTGTGTCAGTTGACCGAAATTAATGGAGATCTACAGCAGTTGCAGCACGGAGTGTCCGAGGTGGTCAGCCTAGCCCAAAAACTTCAATTTGGTCATATTTTGAGGCAGTTTTTAGTGTAAATTTTATCATCAAATGATTCCATGAACTAGCCTACATAGAGTCGTAAAGGCAGAGAGTTTTTACTGCCACTTCACGTTGCAATTAGGAATTTCGCAAATGCATTAGTCCTTTGGTGTATAACTACAAATAAACTCACACACATGAGCATAACGATTTCAAAAAATTATTCTAATAATGAAGTTATAATGGATGTCAATTGACAGGCCTCGGATGTCCCACTAACAATAGTTTCTACAGATGGTAAAGTTAAAAATAGTCAACAAAGGTTCCACGCTCTACTCCCTCCACCATGTAATGTTCCTGTCTGTGCACTGCTTCATTACTGGAAGGCCCTTGGTTGGGCGTTCGCTGCCTCCGGAGCCAGAAGGCGGTACAACGACATAGTATTTTGAGGCCAAAGTGTCTATGGCAAAAACGGACGATGGTGAAATGCACAGCATTCTCTGTTTGCCTCAAGTCACTATCACAACAGTTCATGCTAATGATGAGGTAAAAAAATATTCAACTAACTCTTAAGCTTTTCAAAGGGATTAATGAGACACCTTTTTAAAATGCTCTAACATCGCCCATTTTTCACCCCATACAAGGCAAATATACGATGTAAAGTGGACGAATTTTATGCAAAACATAAGAGCTGGAATTACCTTACATTTTCCTACCAAAATGCCAATGAGTGGAACTTGACCTGCCCACTCATTAGAGGCCAGAGGAAAAAGCAGACGAAACAGGGGCGTGTTTGTAATTAATGCGAACTTTTTATGCAATTTTACATTCTAAAATTTAGTCCCCTGTAATTTTCCCTTGGAAAGAGTAGGTTGTTATGACTAGTTTAAATGGAGCCAAATTCTGTCGTTCCACGAGAGCATCGGCATTGTGTGCGCTCCGCTGCTTGCGGTATGGGCGGCACCGGGCGGAGGGTTTTCTATCGTCGGAAAGTATTTTGATCTACACAAAACACTGAATGCCGCCCAGAAGATATTTTTTTCTGGGTGCTGTACATACGTCAACAAAAGCATAGTAAAATGGACACAGGATATACTGGCTTGCATCATTCCTTTCAACATTATGGTCTACAAAACTAAAACACTCATGTCCACTCTCGCCCACTTTCTTATTAGCATAAAACAGAACACTTACCGACACCGCGTTGTAAAGCCCCTCCGGAACTAATGACTGAGTCGACAGCGGGAACGTCAAATCTACTCCACAGTCTACCATTGGCTCGCAGGTACGAATTTAAGGCTGCATAAACTGTGTGCTATGAAATCGTCCGAAGGATGATTGCATCAATTCGCGATGTCATCTTGGAATTCCCTTGCCATCGGCATGCGAAATGGCATTTGTGCGGCTTTGAAATGATCAGCATTTTTGCATAGCAATCAAGTCATTTTCATTTACAGACTAGCTTTATGAAACCCACCTGAGGATGAAGAGCTAAATATGCATTCCACGCACACACTGTTAGGCAGGAGACAATTCCGTTACTTACGCAAGTCATGTCGCTAAAACTGTCTTTACTGATCAGTGTGTGCCAAACTTTTCCCGCGATAGTGCTACAATGCTTTAACCTTTGTTATCTGCCACTCAATAAAGTTTTCACAGCGACATTTTTGGTTTCGAATAAGCTTTACTGTTTTCACATAAACAAGTTGCAGCTCCATCGTATGCATCGGGTGAAGTCTTCCATGTAAATATCTTAACAACAATAAATAAACAAATGTGGATGTGAGGTATTGCTCTGGCAGTAATGGTTTCACCAGAGTGATCATTTTGTTATCAGGTCCAAAATGCAATTCTCTTCGCAGTCTTTGTTCCCTCCGCTCATGAAAGCTTATCGTACTTAAGTGGCTCAAGCAAGAAGATTGCACAATTGTATTTCCATTGCACCATATAGTTATTTTTGTTATACTTCATTATTACTCACATATGTTGCTTAGCTCAATTCCTAGTGGGGAGTTTACGACCTTCCATTTCTCAAGTCAGCGCTTTGAGTGTCGAACTGAGAAGACCTGAAGTTCAGCAGTGTACTTTGAAGGCCCCGTTTGGCAATATGGACCATGGAATGTATGCACCATTTCCTAAGCGGTTAGCCTTCAACTTTCTAAAAGCCAAATGGAGCCTTTCCTAAGCGGTTAAACATCAAGAAAAGCTTGAGAAGATCTACGGTCATTCCGGAATCAACTTAACACTTCTATTAATCTATTGAAGATTACTGGTAGAGGAGTGATTAGAATATCAACCGCTTAGTGACTTACCTTTGGCGTAAAGTGGACCAGAGGATCTTGCGGGTGTGAAATTGTGGGCATCAATGTGAGGTGCATAAACAAATGTCAGGGTTATAAAAACTTACCTCCTTAAAATCAGTTTTTAAAGCCAAGCGGAAGACGCGGATATTGAAAGTTTTGTTCTTTTGGAATAACTCCTGAGAACCATTGTGCATAGTTTTCTGCTCGGCAGCTGTTTTTTAACATTCCTTTTCTATAAAAGGCTACTTGGCTAGACTGGACTCTGTGCCATACTCGTAGTCCCAATCTCTTCTGTTTACTACGCATGCATATTCCAGCCAAGGATCAAGTCTTCTCTCGCCTTAGCACCAATTACCATTTCAACATTATCCAAACTGGTGCTTATACTGTATGCAACGGATCTCGAATTTTGAAATGAAAATACCTAACTAAAAACGATGAAAAGAGAGGAAAAGTATGCAAACATAAAGAGGCATTTTACTGGACAGTGTCAATCTATCAAGTTAATTTCACCGGCAAAATGTCAGAGTACCGGATGGTGCTAAAGCATCCCCTTGATGGAAGAGAAATTAGCATACATATGCACAGAATGCGTTTACTTTAATCCAATTGGTCTCGCATTGCCATAAAACGGACCATCAGTTACATTTGATCTTGACCCTACCAAGCTCCTAATAGGAAAGGCTATTCGTGAAGGCTTCAAAGTTGGTCTTTTATGACCAACGTGGCGTACACGAGCTTGGCAGTGGATGTGTGGACCTTTCCAAAGACCGTGCCTGGGTCATCTTGGCTGTGTGTATTCATTAAAGGGAGTTGAATTTGATTAGCCAACAGGTGAACTCAGCCATCGAGTAGGGTCTAAGTGGGAGGCGACGCCTGGAGTGAGCCACAGAAAATACTCGCAAAAAATAAATCGTATCAAAATCCTACACAGACGATTCTATGGGATTTCGTAAAAAGTTTCTAATGTGCGCATTAAAGCCTTGAGTAATAAAATCCGAGGAAACATCATCAACCGCGATAATGCGTCAAATGAGTTTTGTTGATGAGGGAATTGAAGTCAACCAGGTCAAGTTAATAAACGATATTGAAAGAAATTGGGGTTCACATTGTGGCGTTCCTAAACTAGTATGATTTAGAAAAATTAGTTGGAATGTAGCAATTTACAAGCGAGACAAGTCTCCTATATATGGGCAATAAAGAGTTTTCTGCTCAAACTCTGAATTCAATAAAGAGGCGTCTTAGGTACCCTCCACAATTCTTACCCTGGAACCCTAGCACTTAGAATATTGTAACGGTCCAACACCTTCTGCACCCTCAATACACCCTCTTCCCGCGCACTCAACATTCGTCTGTCTCCAAGTGATGGATTGTTAACCTTTGTGCAAGAACAGACGACGGACCATAGCAGGAGGGATACAATCAATGTCCACCTTCGCCAACTGCCTTAGTCTCGTGGTTTGGAAAAAGCTAGCAAAAACCGACACTATGTTAGCCATGATGTGTCTGATTAGCTTGTTGCGCTCGTCTTGTGATAACATCGCATGTATGAACTTGCGATGCTTCCCTCACGTCTCCACCAGTTGGATGAAACCAGATGGACATGAATGAAGGGCACAGCAAGGAGGAATGCGGACGACACACCTACTCCACACGAAATGGTAAATCTTGGTCTCATTCACTAGACTCGGGCTTCGGACCAGTACTGCCACAGCTAGTTCTCATGCAGGACGCTACCCCGTATTCGATCAAACGAATAGTCAGTGTTGGCTGTAGTGCATTGGGGGCGTGCTTTCTTTACAGGGTGAATTACTTCCTTCTGTGTGCTTCATTCAGGGTCCCACATGGTATCAAATGGCAAGATTGTACTTCAAATTGTTTAATTTGTGGCAGAAGACAAGCATAAAACTATGGAAACGGCAATTTAGCAATAAAAGGCGTCTATTTTTCGCTGCATTCCTAAAATGAAATACCAAGAGATTCGTCAAACCGTGTGACAGGTCGATCATCCACGTTAATGGAAATGACTGTAGCATCTTTTGGCCCACTCTCGGGCTCGTGGGGTTGTGGATTTGCATTTTTAAACTTTTCATAGTTCTCCTCACTCCTGACATTCGCTCATGTTGTTGAGCTGCACTCACGACTGTGGAGGTGGGACCGATGCTCCCTCCAATCAGTGCTCGCCGCCGCCTATATATTAGTGACCAGCGCTCCGACCCCTCCACCGCGCGATTTCGCCGACTTCATAGGTGCGTGCTGCTCTCTCTGACCACTGCATTACCCCTTGCACTCCCTTACTCTCATATCCCATCCTGCCTCTGCTACGGAGGTTTCAGTTCATTTGCTCAATCGTACGCTTTCTCCTCTTGTTTATCTTTACCATAAGCCCACCTTACATGTGCTACCTTCTATTTGTAGAACAAGTACCATGCCGTCAGCAATTGCAAGTCCTCCTTTATCGTGTTCTCATTGTAATTCAGTGAGTTTCAGTTTCACCAATTTCAAGAGAAGTGTGTAGAAGCACTTTATGTGGTTTTGATTACATTTAATTTTGATCTGATCCATATGAACCATCTTAGTCCTCTGCTGACCAAACTTTGTATTTCAAGTTACGAATTGACTGGTTATTACACGTCACCGTTGCATCGGTTCATCCGCCAAAACTATCCTTATGGTTATGGAGTTAGATCTGCAAAACGGACTTTCTGTTTTGCAGTTGTTAAATGGAACCCCCAATAGCGAATCCATTTGATTTAAATAATTGGAATTCTCGTTTTAATAACAATATTCGACCCGCATAGTTTTTTTGTGGGTTGAAGCTGTTTGACTTGCTTATTTCCTTAGTTTAGAGCTGGATTCTCGTCCATTTGATTTTGTTTGCAGTCATAACACTGCTGCACTTGTAACGGGCTCTTCGATTGTCCACCTTCTGTCACATTTATTTGATTTCGTCTTATGTAAGGGGTTCTCTCAATTTTGTAATGTTTGTTAAAGGTCTGGTTAAAATTTTATACACCCTCGTACTTTGCGGTAGAACCGCAAAAGGTAATCCTGTCTTGAGGATGCTGTATCTAATACCGCTTTTTCCTTCCTAGACTGATGGAAAAAAGCACTCTAGTCCATTTGTCTCGTGCGTACTGATACGGGAAAAGCGACGTCAACAAATAGAACAGACCGACTATACAATAAGGGTGTCTTATAGGGAGCGCGAAAAGTGTGACACCGTAAGGGCAACGTTTGTGGTCAAAATGCCCGACTTCCTCAATCCTAACGCTGAATTCTGGGTGCTTACGTTTTGTTGCGATCTCCATCGTTTTGAGGATGATATGGAATCGGTAAGATTTTTTTCGATTTCGCTTTTAAGATATTTAAGAATCTAAAATGAATTTTGTAAATAATTTTCCGCATTTGAGTGGAAATTCGGTTGTATTTATCCACAAATATATGACATCATTCGTTGACGTCCTTAGATCACAAGCTGTTGCTTCCCTGAGATGTGCGATGCGGCATCAGCTTCGATCAGGGCAGTCGTTCGGGGTCTACTGGAGGCGATGGAAAAGGATCTGAGTTCAGTGCCTGTGGAAAAGGACTTTTGCTTCTATCCAAAGTGCTCGGCCGATTTGATCGACATTATCGGTAAAGATACAGTCCCGAATGTCCCAAAGGTAGAAGGTAATGAGCTTTAAGATACTGGTGAGGATCTGTAAATTAACTCGTGTTTGTTAACGTTTAGATCTTTCTTTGCCTTTAAGACTGCTCTCCAAGTGATAGTGAGGATGAGAGTGACGAGGAGGGCGAAGAGCTAATAACTGTGCGAGTACCTGTTCATGCGCTGCCTGTATTCCATCGGCTTGCAAAGTATTTAGAGGAAAAAAATAACACTGATCCTGTTATCATCATACCCAGCAGCACGAAAAATAGCGGCCACCTCTTATTCTTGCCAAATCATCCATCCTTTTTGTGCTCGTGGGATTCATTTGAATGCGGATTCGGTCTTTACTTTTTGCCCAATTACAATAATTTTATTATTGTTCAGGGCAGAAATTCTTTAGGTCCGCAAACGACAATATATTATCCACCAAAAAGTGGTTTGCTTGCCATCACACCCACTACAGAGGTAGCGCATATTGAGAAGCTTGCCATTGTGCATCCTAAAAACTTGTCCATGCCTCTACTGGAACTCCCTTTATCAGAATTTCCATCAACCCCCGTGAATTGTGATGATTTGATATCGCTTGTGATGACCCTTCGTGAAAGTTTGGCGGACCCGAAGACTGCGTTACCAGACGAAAATTCTTGGAAGATGTCTGAGTCAGCTAATGATTGCCCAATCAAATGTGAAGTATCAAGCGGTGCTGCACCCTTTTGGAACCAGATAGATGCCACCGCACGACAAATAGCTTGGTCAATCAGGAGTGTGGGAGCCAAACATCTTAGCTCAATCAGAGGCTTCGTTTCTGCGCCTCTCATTTCAAGTGATCAAGACGTACCGACTAAGGGGCGACAAGCTCAGGCACAATTTCCGGTGAGTTTGGGCATTGAGTAAACTTAAGGAGACACGATTTTCAGAACCAAACACCTCTTAAGCCGTCAATTTATGCTGTGTTCGGATATTTGACATGTTCTTAACCACTACCTAGGCGTTGTCGAACGTCGTAGAATATCGCAACGAACAACCTTGGGATACCTCATTCATGACTTTGCCCTCGTTGCCTTCAAAGACCTCGATCGAATCGAAGGCGACTTTAGAATCAGCTTTACTAGACAACCAAGTATGGAATTCTATGATAGAATTACTACATTTAGCACTTTATGCAGGTGCTTTCGTATTTTCCCGTAGTTGCAATTATCGTAGCACCCCCATGTAGTTTGTCGGGTTTGAGCCAGCGTCGGCTTGAAGAAATTAATGTACAGTCGCTCCTTCCTAAATATTTCACCTATCTGCATTGGTTTGCCTCATCGCTATCGTGAATATCTTTGACTCATTTGCATGCAGCGATGACCCTTTGTACTGCCTAACAATGTGTGCCGCTGCCGAAGTTTACTCTTGCATCATCATAACTACTACCGCTCATGCCTCTACTCTCCCATGTGCTTACTAGACACTCGAAACGACCAAACCTCCAGTCCACACTCCATCCAAATCACGGTTTAGGGTGAGTCTTTGCAAACCAGTGCGATATCCTCTCGAGGTTTCTTGTACCTTGGCAATATGTTATCTATGCATGGGTTGACCTCGACGTAGTTAATGCCATTAGTGGATCCCTGGATTATGGGATACACCTGTCATGCAGGCACAATCAAGAACAGCATTGATGCCATCGGGACGATGCTTACAGAAGCTATAAACTCACCTTTCCCGTTAATAGGTAATCAGACTGCCAGAAAATGAGGAGAACAATAATTTGGGCTTGCATCCCGATTTGGCAGAAGAAGCCAAGGATTCGGAACCTTCTATAATAGCTACACCGACCGAAACTGCTGCACGAACAGATATTGCGACTCCGGTGCAGTCGTTGACGTCAGGATCGGGGCAGACACCACGTCTTCAAACCCAGTCGAAATCTGTAAGTTCCCGCTCAAGCAACGCCTGTCTCTCATTGCTACCATTCCCATTATCGTAGTATTTCAGCTCTTATGGTTTTGGACGTTTTATCTTTACGTAATTTCGCTGCTGCATGTAGGTGGGTGGGTAGTAATAAAGAAGTGGATCAAATTAATTAATCTTGCACAAGCTGCATTCAAAGCCACGGCTCACAGTTAGGAGCTACAGATTGGTTTTTTGCTACTGTGATTGTGAATTATCAGATCGCAAATTTAGTTGGTTTTCTTTGACCCTTTCGCCACTTTGAGGTTACTGGACGAAGGAGCATGCAATTCTCTGACTCGTTGCAGCAGTATGTTCTCTCTCCCATCGCTGAGATGCAAAAAAATGGACAATCGCAAAGAAGGGTGAATGTAAGTCTCCCAATCAGATGAAATTTTGCTAATTATTTCCTTGTTAATTTGCAATACCATTTTTATGCAGTCTCACTGACATATTTATAAACAATACTCAAGAATCCCTTGAATCTCGACGCAATATTTAAATGCAGCTACTAATGCATGCATAGTGATTGCTATTAATCTTATGACCTGTTTAAAATTATCCAGCCCGTAAGACGGGCAGAAAGTGAAAGGATGCCAAGACCTTCGGAGAGTCTCGAGAGACTCGCGAGTCTACATCCAGGCACTGGTGTGACACCATCGAGGAAATTTGCGTGCCCATCTTCTGGAGCGTATGCTGTAAGTTCAACAGAGTATTACTTCAGTATATTGATAAAGTTGGTTTGACAGCTAAGTCTAGGTTTTTGGATCCAAGTGTTAAATACGTTTGCAAATTCACTGTTCTTTCGACCTCTACTCATGATCTAGCAAAGGGCATAGTAGAAGTGAACACCTCCGCGACCCCACTTAGCTGCTTTCTTTGAGCTCCCGAATTTGTCCAAGTGCGTAAGTACAAACAAAACTCCTCCGTTCTAAGAGGATCCCAGTCAATCCACTGCTCATTCGTTTCAGTAGATACACAACACACAACCCCACCTCCTACCGTTCTTCTCGATCCCGTGAATGCTCGATGAACCTACTTTTCGTAAGTAGTGTCCCACCAGCATTTTTCCTGAATATACTTCTGCGCAGGGACGACAACCTCTGCACCTGTCCCGTCTTTTTCAAATGCCGCCATGTTGATGGCTACTAAGTAGACAGCCACTCTCACCTAGTTTCACATATTTTCAGCCCAAATTCGAAATCTGCCTAATCGAAAGTCCCACTCCCAGCTGCATTCGTCCACCTACTTAGCACTCATGCTGATCTGTTGACACCCATTGAGGCGGAGGATTAATTCTACATACCATCTGCTGTTGCTAAGCTCTATCTCTTGAAAGTTGAGTGTCTCCTTTGCTCGATTAGAATAAAATTTTCTATAAAATATCTTCGCTGTTTATTATGATCAAAGCAGGGGAAGTGAACTCCATTTTATTCTATCGGTATCGTGTGTTCAACCGTCATCAACCTTTGGAGCATCATGGGGCAGTGGTGATGCTGGACTCAGAAAGACATAAAGAATCTGAAACTGGGAATGATCACAGGTTGCATTAGTTTGTAACGAATGGTTGATACGTTGTGCTTGGTTAAACTAACATTCAAACCGGCTTCGTTTATTGTATGAACGGGAAAGCAGGAACTTGATCCATGATTTGGCACTTCAGCATCCACAAAGTTCATGGCAGACGTGGACTGGGGGTAAGACTGAAGAAAAGAATGGTATGAGCACAATAAGTTTTCGAAGGATCTTTGACACAACCGCTTGCAGCCTGGAAAGCATGAAAGGGGCAAACTATTTTCAGACCACGAACGACCCGAAATTCACCCCAAACTAGAACCACTGGATGCAACATGCAGGCAGCACGACGAATGTTGTAATACAATTCCAAGAGTTGCAAACGATAGTCTCATGAAAAGACTACCTTTCAATTGATGCGGCGACACCAAGCCATTGACAGCAAAGCACTCACCTTATGGCACGCACTAGACGGCTGAAGCCAATTTCGAACCATGAGAGCCCATGAGACACCTAGAATTCATTAACGTTAGTGTTGATTTGTCTGCGGCCAAGGTCATACCTTTGCGAACATCGTGAAAGATTGGTGGGGGTCGTAACCAAAGTCGGCCCAGCGCTGACCCAAGGGCTTCTTTCCAAAAATCCAGGTTTAGGTAAGTGCTAAGAAAGACATCACTTAGCAGGTATAATGGCAAACAAGAAAGCCATTCGAAGAACACTACTGCTTAACCCTTAAGCCATGGATGGGAATGAAGTCAAGCTCCATGTCATTAGGAGTAATGCAAATGAAAATGCAACAGCAATATAACGCGGTAGAAACTAGGCGTCATCGAGTCTTCAGCCTTCCTATGCGCCGGTAAACAAGCATTCGACACAAACGCTGCTTATTATGCCTTCATTATCCACTGTAAGCAATACAGCCGTACCATGATTTTACTTGCGGTATTTCCGAGAATTAATGAAATAAAGTTAAATTTGCTGACAACAAAAGCACTAATCTAACTGCCACGGTGAGGAACACACTCGGGGCGGAAAGCAAGACACCGAAAGCGGAAGATAACATCACAACAACCGCCGTTTTCTGAGTGGTGGTAGCGTAGAACAAGCTCCTGTTGACCAACTTCTGATAGCTGAAGGGAATTGAGTATTTCCATAACGTATTTTCGGACACTCCGAGCCAGCAAAATCTGAAAAGGAGCGAAGTGAGGAGACAAGTGGAAGATATGGTACAAAATACAACAACCCAATGAACTGAGAAAACGGCACAAGTCAGCTAAGGAAACGGTAGGTTATCGGCCATGCAGGCACCTGAACGGCCAAAACTGAATACAACTACCTCGAAAACTCGTGAATTTTAAAACACCATTTTACCAATCACTTCTTCCCGCTCGGGAATGTATCGACAAAGTAACCGACTTATGAGTTAAAACCTAGGCTCGCTCCCAATGCTACACTTTATGGATAGCAGTGCATAGGTCGCAACTAAAGCCTGCAATCAAGCACTCGGTTAAATAAGAAAGACTTCTTCGATCTTTAAGTGTATCCACTACTCCTTCCTACTAAGATTAAAGCAAAAGAATGGCTTTCTTTATAAAAGTTGATTATTATTCTCTAATTCTAAGCTATCGCTGTAAAGGACGCTACGAGTATTTACCATAGCGGGCGTACCAAATACGAAGGCAGATTTGAAGGCCTGAGGAGGGTAAGCCTTCATCTGAAACAGATTGACGCTAATCGCAGTGAACAAAAAGTCCTTCAGTATTTTACACTCTTAATAGACCATTTAAAGAACGAAGCACCTTACCAAACGAAGGGCTGATTCGTCTCGTCGACATAATTAAATAATCAGGCCAATTCCCGGGCATGTCCAACACAACCAAACGCCACTATTGGACCCAAGTTATTTCTAAACCGTCCTGCAGCAAGAAATAACTAGTTCATTTTTAGACCCACAAGATCGTGGTATGCTAGCCAATATGCTGTCTACTCAAAACTTAAAGGAGTTTAGAACGCAAGTAAACTCAAGACAACTATAAATCGGATTCTGAGAAATACGACCAGGAGGTAGGAACAAGCAACCAATGCAAAGGCAGGAGTGAGAAAGGTGGCACCTCTACCTGAAGTTCATACGTTTCCGATTGTGCAAACTGAAAAAAGGGGAAGTAGCGCGGCGTAATTTATTTTGGTCAGATATGTACAACAATGGCGAGAGAATAAAAGGAGCAATTCATCCCCAGGCTTGAGACTTACAATATTGCAGGATCAGAGTTCCCTCAGTACTGAAACAATCAAAAAGAGTACCTATTTCGGTATCCAAAGGGGGAGCAAAACTAGATAAGACAAAGATAAAAATACTCTCTTCTTGAGGATCAAGACGGAGAAGTGCAAACAAAGAATTCACCATCTTCGACAGGGTATCCGATCTGGCTACCTTCCACTTAGACTTTCGTACACATGGTGCGTTTCCAACAGGCTTCAACAGGACATCAACCTTGTTTTGACTTTTGGATGGAGTCTGGTGACCTTCTTCCGCACAATTTGTATCAACAGCCGCCCCGGCCATGATTCAACGAAGTTGAGCGCGCTATTGGATAACAAACTATAACGAGCCCATATGTATTTAGTGGGTGAGTTCCAACTCTAGTGATGGAAGCATGTCCTATGGCGAAGAACGACTACTTCACTTTCAACAGACCGAAAATTTTGCTCACATTTTTTGTATAGTTTTGTATTTATTGTGACAGAGTGATGAGAGGCTAATTTGAAAAGTACTGAACTGGTTGGTCCGCAGGCATGTGGCGAGTTATCCTGTTCTTCATCATAGGTCCAAATGTAGCTTTTTCTGATCACTTCGAAGAGGAGTTACTTGTTAAAGATTTCGGCAATGGTTTTTCTGGACTCCATTTTAATCTTATCTCTCGCAAAACCACGGGTGATGGTAGAGTATAACTACAATTTCATTATTAATTTAGACTACAATTTTCACATATTTCCAAGGTCTCTGTATGCTACGATCTCAAAGTACGATGTGGATGAGTTCCACTTATCGATGGTGCAGGGATTCTGGGATCGACAAAAATGGGGTCCGCCATTTGCCTCTATTGCACCTGGTGGTGCTGAGATATGGGCCTGGTTTTCTCCTTTTGTCCTGGAGTAACTTTGCTTTGGCTTTATTCTAAAAATTCACAGTGTCGACAAATCTTGGTCCTATTTTCTTGAAGCTCTTTCGGGCCAATTTTGTGCTTCACTAAGTCAACTTGGGTTACCTCAAAACTACATATCACCAACAGTCTCTTATCGTCCCTTGGGTCTCACCCGAAAGCTTACTTTTGACAATGTTTCCAGGATATTTCGCTATGCTCAGCTCCCTCGGGAAGAAGTTTGCACAGAAAATCTAACGCCCTGGTCAAAATTATTGCCTTGTAAAAAACTAGGTGGTCTTGCTAGTATGCTCAAGCCCAAATCAGTTTTCAAGGCAACTTACACTGCCATGTCTGTTGGTGTCCGGCGAGTGTGTTCAGTGAGTCTTTATTGTCTCTTTCATTTGATTTTAGGATTCACAATGCAAACGCTTGTCGTTTGAGCTGAGGCAGTCCCTGACATTTGTATTTGATCGGCACCATTTATACAAGTCAGTTCAGGGTAATGTGCCTTTGCTGTAACAGGCCAATTTTTCTGGTATAGAGCCTTGGTCACTGACTGGCCTTCTGGGTGATCAACTTGATAAGGCGTGCCAAGTCGCTCGTCGTAGTGAAATTATAATTCTTCATTCCCAGTCCCGTCTCATACTGAAACCCCCCTCTATACCGGCATTGTTATCGGGCTGGGACACTCACCGAGTCTTAGCAGTCTACTCACCTGCACATGAATTTGCCAACGATCTCCTCATAACCTCTGTTTCTCCCGTTAACACATCACGTTTCTCAACTGAGACTGGTGGTGTATCGGTCATGAAATATACCACAGGAAGAGGAGATGTTGATGGTGGCGTGCGAATTGAGCTCTGCAATCATTTGAGCCTTCCGATGCGTGCCGTTTTACTTGATTCCTCCCCTTGGTATGCTGAAATGTACTTCAGTAGTCTGTCCATTGCTTACTCATCTGGGATAAGTGGCGCACTGATCGACATGGCACCAGGTAAGTTGTATGGCTGCTCAATATCATTGTCCTTCCCTGTCATGACAGCATGATTGATAACTCTATTCTTGGTTGCATTCATCTTCATCTTGGTAATTGGATAATGTAACGGTTATTTTGTGCCTATGATATAGAAGCTAGCAGTTGTTTTTTTTACAAAATTCACTTTACTGGACCCATCGCCTAGTGTCTTGCTGTTATTATTCCATCAATCTATGCCTTTTTTCACTTTCCAAACAGATAGGGTGGTATTCCAGCCAAGTGTTCAGCTAGAGCAAATGGCCTTTTTGGAGCTTCTGCTTACACTTCCCTCAAGCACTTGTGTCACCATTTCGTATGCTTTCAAGAAGATTCTAATGCATTGGAACGAATACCTCCCCGATGCGAATCATGGTATCTTCTTGCCAGCCGCCACTGTTATTTACCAGCTCTCTCCCGACCAACTGGACCGACAACGGGCCGGCAGCAATCCAATTGCCTGGGAGTTAGCGTTGCCTATGTGGGCCAGTACCTATGCCGAATATCTGTAAGCTTCAACCTTTTCCTTACCCTTACAAAATCTGTTTCTTCAATTCCTTAATAGAAAGTAAGGTCAATTTGCATAGATGACTTCATGTGTTGTTGAGAGTTCCGACGGGATTTGTCAAAAGTTGCAGAACATGTACAGTAAACTGGTATCGAGTCCACTTTTCACCCTGTTGATGATCAATTTTAAGTCACTGACGTATTGCACAATGAGAATTGACCTTGAAGACGTTACGATTGACGTTAGTCTATAAGTGCTTTTATTATCATCCAAGCGAAACATGAGGTTTTGCAGATACTTATGTATATCCTTCCACCATGTAGATATCGAGTACCTTTTATTCATCATTTGCTTGCCTTTTTACAGTTCATCCGCGAATCGCACGGGAACCATGCTGGGCGATGGTTTCGTGCGCCTGTACTCCGAAACACCACTCGTTCGTCTTCCCGTGCCCGACTTTAGCATGCCATTCAACGCTCTGTGCTTGGTCTGTTCCGTAGTTGCTTTGCTCTTCGGCGGAGTGCATAAACTCACTACCTCTGCCATGGTTCCTGTGGCCGCTGAGGGCGACGAAGAAGTGGTAGATAAACCGCCCATCGCTCGGCTCTGCCAGAAGTTGAAAACATTGCTTTGTTATGTGCGTGGACAGGAGCACTCCAAATCGGACTGATGTTTATTGAATACGTTTTCTTTCTCGCTGGCTGTGCCTTTGCGGATCATTTTTTAATAAAGTTATCCTTCAACTCTATGGATGTCGATGTTAGTATGTCTTTTTGAGGCTATTAGCGTCTATCCTAGAGCTCTATTCACTTCTGGTGTTTTACTATAAGGTCTTTTTTGGACGTATCCCTGAAACGTGCTGGTGACTAATAGTAGTCATTCTCGGCTTTGTGTATTTTAAGTTGGGATTTAATCTGTATCCATCTGAATTCACGTTTAGGTGCAAGGGTCCTGTGAACGTTTATTTCTTATTGAGGTTGAGAAAGTCATCTTGATTCTGAAGTACGGTTAGTGTCGGTTATGGTTGCTTATGCTAAATTCGAACATTACCCAATGGTTCACCTATTTTGGAAGGCGTAAACCGAACAGGCGTGTCACCCTTCTCACTGACTACTTAGTTCTGGGACTACATTAAATCAATAGATGCTGCATCTTTCTGTCCGCGCGCTGCTCTAACTTGCGCACTCCTTACTTATGTTCGTTTCCTCACTAATGATTGTCAGCTTCCTGTCGTGAACGAACCAGATGGTGCAAATTCACACAGAGCATTCCAGTGGAGTGAAACGACTCTACAAATAGTTTCATTTATTTTGAAAAGTGAGATGTATTTAGCTCACATATTAGAAAAGTGACGTGCTTGTGCGCTTATCACGGACTAAAATGACGTCCATTGAATGTTAATCGCCAAATTTTGAAATCTCCCAAACTGTCAGTAAATCTCACCATTCTTGCACGCCATAAAATATTCTAGGAATTGTTTAGTCCCATACAATTCCTAGAGGTAACTACTTGGGTTTGGGAAGAAGTTGACAACACCTTAGCGAAGTCAGCAAAGCTTAGTTATTCCATGTAAGTGTGTCGAATAACTGAGAAGCCACTCCGGTTGATTTAAAATCACTTATACCGAACCCTTACGCATTGATTATCCAAACGCTAAGGAATAATGAAAGAAAGGACGCTGCGTAAAGAACTACTGCCCTACTCCACTTAAGACTCATACCCTCCATCTATAAGTTTGGACAGCATCTGCACCATAACCTATTACGCTACCAAGGTCTCAGTGTCGATGAACCACAAGTACAATAGAGAATCCTCACAAAAGTAGACGGTATTAAATGTCATAAAGGACGGGCACTTTCCAGCAACACTTTAATGGGGGAACACATTAGGTTTAAACACACTCATCCCTCACAATCTATTTCGGGTGAATAAGGAACCGATGTACAAACAGCATTTTTAGTTTCCTATTCTGATTAGAATTTCGCCTTCAGTGCCTCAAGCCGAGTCCTAATAGCATTGAACTGAAAGGTGCGGTTGGAGGTACCGAAGGGATCTTGCATGAGCATTTTATCCTTCGGAGCTCCATCAACACAAGCTTGGAGATAATCCTCATAGTTCTCCAAAAACGTTGCCTTCATTATTTCAAAAAGGTCATCCGGAAAGCTAGCCTTTCGCTCCATAACGTCGCAAACGGCACAACGAAGAGTCTCGTGCTTGATCATTTCATTGTAATGGGCTGAAGCTCTTGGATTGGAATGATTCTCGAAACCAGGCTCGTTGTAGTAGGGTTCTGCGTTCATAAGAGATTGAATGGAGAGGAGAACTGACGTTAGATTTTGGATTGGTGACCATTGAGGACCCGACCAGGTTCCAATAATGCTAAGACATACCTAAAATGGAGCATACTTTTAAGCCACCAACCCCTATACTGCAAACCACTTCGAAACCAATTTCCTATGCTACCCAATACCAAAACAGAACCGAGAATTACCTTGCCGCTTGCATATAGATTGGGGCCAAATCTGACGGTTCCTCCACCCGTGTTGATGATGCGCACCTTAGGGGGACTCAATGGATAATCAGCAGGAAAAGCCATGAGGAAAATGAAAAAACCGCCTTCATAGGGAGTATCTGCGGGACCATTGATTACAGCGTAAACTTTCCCCAAGTCTTCTGAACATGGGGTAACAATAATGCCTTCCGGAGGGTCTCTAACGCTGGTTAATATCCCCAGTGTCTTACTGATAAAATTTCCGCAGATCAGTTTTTATTCGCGTTTGAGCGCTTGGCATCAAATCGCGTCCTTTATTAAGCGCTAATGGATCCCAGTCCGTGACTTCCATCCTTTGAATGTCCGAAGTGCCTCGAAAGACGACCTACGAACTTCAGAAGAGCGTTCCTCCAGTGGTAAATTAAAACACATAAAAAAACAAAATTTGTAAGACCCTATTTTTGGCTTAGCTTGAGACTTCCTAAACGATATTAATAAAATTTATGCTGATTAGTCCTAATTTTTAAACCAAACTGATTCCCCGGTTTTGTAGTAGATACCTATAGCAGCGAAATTCCCTGTCCGCATGATTATACCGACATCACGCCACGTCGCCTAGACTCCAACGTGGTGAAGACAAATATTTCACCGCATCCCCAACGTCCCTGCCTCCACTAGACCTAAACCCCCATCCTCCACACACTCCCATCTTTATACCTCACGATTCGCACTGCCGATGTTGAGATCCAGTCTCGCCCTTCCATCACCGGCAGCACTCTAACGGTGACACCGTCCCCTGCCACCCCAAGACATTCGAACCAAATCACCGTAACGCCCAAATTTCAAAGTCATTCCGCACAAGCGTGAGGAAGACGTCCCAGAGCTTGGCTGAGCCTAGTGAAGCAGCTGCGGATTAATTGACAGAACCAATGATCCACAAAGCTGTTACCCACTGATGGGACAATTCCCCCGCGGAGTTGAACCGGCTGACACATAAGTAAATTAAGACTTAGCAAAAATACACAAGTTTTCGTTTGGCCAACACAGCTAACACGGGGGTGGGGAAGTTAGACGGCCATTTGCATGCTGATCTTTGGATAGGGATCATATCCAATCAACTCAAAGTCCTCTGCAACAAAGTCGTCAATTTCCTTGACCTCCCGTTTAATCAAAAGTTTAGGGAATGGTCTTGGTTTCCTTTTGAGCTGCGAACCAGTAAAAAAGAAGGCTGATACTTGGTCATAAGGCGAGCTTGCTAACATGTGAACGTTAAAATTCTCAGCAAAAATCTAAATAATGGAGACGAACAAAACCTAAGAGTTCCTAACAAAAGTACGCACCTGCAGTTCGAGCGCCTCTTTGTGGTTGGTATAGATATGACAATCACCAATGGTGTGGACGAATTCCCCAGGCTTTAGTCCTGTGATGTGCGCGATCATCAGCGTTAGAAGAGAGTAGCTAGCGATATTAAAAGGCACTCCCAAGCCCTAAAAGATCCCAAGCAGATCCATTGCAGAACCTTGTCTTATTATTCCAAACTTTACCCATCTTAAGCACTGCACTTATATTAAATGCTACAAAAAAGAATTCGACTACCCAGATTCGCTATCCCTATGCACTAAGATCAATATTACCAACTTTAGGATTACTGAATTTGAACTGTCAGTTAATGTTATAGTTCAACAATTGTCAACCTTAGTAGGTCGGCCCAGGTAACTCCAAGTCTACCGCTTTGACCCCCAACCATAGAAGACTAAGGTATGGAGGTCACCAAAATGACGTTACTAACTTACACTTATGGACAAGGGTATATAGTGGGCAAAAAACAGCGGCTATCAATCTGATGCGGACCAGTTAAACTCACAATATCGCCGGATCTCTGATACAGCATGCAAGACAATTCGCCGTTTGCAACATAGAACTGCACTAGGCAATGACACGGTGGCAGCACCATTTTATGAAGATCTGAAAGCAGGAAACTCATAATATGGGGCAATGGTCTTGCAAAAATACAGAAGATGACGCAAAATAACGTCCAGTCTACAGTTTAAATCCAGCTTCTCAATTCATTCAATCGTTGATAGCATAAACGTTTCTTAATGTTAACAAATCCAATCCTGTCATTAAAAAGTAGTGCTTCTAGTGCTCATTGTATTGGTCATAGATTTACCCGTTGCAATACAGACAAATGAATCGACACGAAAACAATCTAACGCACGCGCAAAAAAACTGATGGATCGTGGTTGTGCATCAATACAAGGTGATCAAGCGATGTGTACAACGAAGTCCTCAATCTCTTCGACAAACTAGAACTAGTTGGCTAATGGATTTTGACAGCACACGGAAAATAAGCGAACGAGGCGAGATGGAGGAGGAACTTCAAAATACTACTATTTGATGGAAACGTGCCTTTTGCATTCCACGCTACAAGGAGGATACGACGGTCCCAGGGACGCTCACGAATAAGCTTTATGCAATTGGCCAACTGATCAACGCCCTGTCCCACGTAGTCCGTTTTGCAATCGATGTATTCGGCGCCACAGTGGCGCCATTGGAAGCCGTAGACCGGGCCAAGGTCGCCTGGAATTAAGGAGCAGAAGTGACAATGGGCTCGGACCAAGTCACGCCACGAACGACACCTCCTCAACTTAATGTTACAGAGCATTTGATTTGAAGCCAATATTGATTAGGCGTCAAGTGAAAATGACAACACATCGGAACCCTGGAACACAAAGGATTAGAGTAGATCATCACAACATCGAGACCATAAGCACTCAAATGACTGCCCTAACGCCAATTGATGGCAACTGTCGTGTAAACCTACCTGTATCCCAATTGCCGATTCAAAATCTCCTACATTCAGTCAAAGACTGCTGTTTATTCTTGGCTTGGGAACATAATATGGACTCCCAATATGCGCAAGCAAAACACATTTGCGAATCTGCTACATTGCTTGTAGAGCAAATAATAAGCCCAACCCGGCAAGAATAAATAATTGAGGTTAGTGAGCAATATGTAGTTTGCGAACTACGATTATTTCCACACTCGAACATCCAGCACTTCAGTACAGCATCAAAAATGATCAAAGCCTCCATTGTACTGATACCTATTAATAACTGAATTTTATAACCCAGTCAACCATAGAACTATTGATAGTTCCGTGCATAAGGCAGACAAATTGACGAGTATAACTCAAATTACCTTCTTCGCGATCAGTGAAGCCCAGTTCGTCGAGGAAAGCCCGAGACCCATTGGCGTCCCAGAATCGCACCTTCTTCGCAGAGAGTTCCTTGGAGTCAGTCGAACCTCGTATAAACCAAAGCAGCTCCTCCAATATGCCCCTAAAAAATGTCTTCAAGGAAATACGATTGAAAAGCATAAGACGTGCACACGTAACTAACCTGATGACTAACAGTCATAACAAACTATGTATGGTACACTGCCACCCAAGCGATTGTACCGCAAATATCAGTCACCTGCTTGGTTGTCAGCAGCGGAAAATCTCCATTTCGGAGGTCAAATCGCATTTGAGGCCCGAAAATCGACCATGTGCCTGTTCCAGTTCTGTCCTGTCGCAAGACGCCCTCCGCCAGAACACGTCGGACAAGATTGAGGTAGCCAGCCTCACCATAAATTGTCTCCGTATCGTACAAAAACGATTCCTCATCTCCTTTATCCGACGGTTTGCGATTTTCAGACATCTAATGCAATGAATGCACCATATATGAAGCGAAACCCTTAAAAAGAGCGCACACGAGCACAAACATGACGCAAAAGCCTGGAGCTGCAGATAGACTAAGGAACCTATCACTGGGTAATCTCACAAGCTCAACATTTTGCAGCATTCATTCAGGAGAGGAACCAACTAGTCTCCCAGAAAAAGGCTATAATCGGCACAGTATAATGGTGAACACAAAACTCCAACTGTCCATCAGTTTCGTAGAACAATGAGACTGGCAAACTGTAAGCAAAGACCCGCGGCCGACTCCATCCACCAACAAGGACTAAGACAACTATAAATCACGGCCAAGGTACCAGCCCATCCGACGATTCAAAAATAGCCTTTGCAAATAAGATCGCTTTGCTAAAACATCCAGCCCACTTAAACGAGTCCTGATAACTGTTGATGAATAAACGAGCAATAGTCATACTGTAACGTACAGGACACGGTTACCAAAAGATTCACCCACAAGTCCAGGGGAAACAACTCACAATACGAATCACAAGAGTAACAGAGTTGCGCACGAAAAACAAGGTGTGGGCATTCTCACCAAGCTAGCTAAACAAATTTGATATTTAAATGCTCAGAATAATAAACTTTAAAAATTTCTTTTTGCGTGTTACCGTTACCATGTTAATAATACCAATCACAATGTGGCACTTCGCTAACATTAAGATAACCCATTAAGGCAGGTAAATTGTTAAATATTTCAGAGGTAATGGATCGTTCACAGGCTTTCCATTAAGAATAAGTGTAACGCTTTGTTTATGCAACCAAATGGTGTCAAGATCCAATTCATACTCATTGTTGTAGTTACTGTCTGTCCACCCTCTGGTCCCTGGTTCTCAGACTTTAAGAGGAAGTTGGTTGTGGACGATTTATTAGGCATCTCTGTAAGAAGGATAGGGGAATAAAATGCAGATGTGTTGAGCAGGTGGTGTCAATCGTCGACCTCGCGCACGTGATCCACGCCTCCAATTGGTTCCCGCCTCTCGCCTATAAAAGTCCACTTAAACAAACTAGAATATATTACACAGCTCCCTTCTTTTTCAAGCACCGTCCTCGGTGTTGACCAGTGGAATTCAATCGGACGGGACCTCTTTTTCTGGTACCGCATAGGCTTCGTCTTCGTACCCTTCTGGGGGTGGACCCGAATATGGCCTAATCTTGTTATGGTGTACTGTTTGAGGCCGGGTAGCGATCTCCGCGTTCCGAACGAGATAATTCGTGGGCGGCAGGACTTTGATTATCCGATAGGGTTCCTTGCTCTAGGAGTGGTAGAATTTCCAGTGGGTTCCTGGCGGAGGGATTGGTCTATACAACTGCACCAAATCGCCCTCTTTAAAGACGTCTGTTCGGCTCCGTTTATCGTAGGATCTGCTTTCTTCAGTTGTTTACGCGCAACATCGAAAACTTTCCTGAGGTTCTCTTTTAGTCGTAAGACGTACTGAGGCGCATTATCACCTGTCGGTTTCTTACGTGGAAGCAAAATGTCCGAAGGGACTCTCATTTCACGGCCCGTGAACATCTTGAATGGAGAGACTCCAGTTGAGGTGTGAGCGGAGGCTCGGTAGGCAAGAAGAGCCCGTCCTAGGTATAGATCCCAATCTTCGGGTTGCACGTCTTTGGTAAAGGTCTTCAGTAACTCGACGAGGGTACGATTGGTTCTCTCCACTTGTCCATTACCCTGGGGGTGGCCCGGCGTCGTACGCGTCTTACGGATTCCAAAGACTTTGCATAG